ACCAACTATTTCGTATTACAACATATTTTAGCAGGCAAAGTTTACTGCAAACCAATATTGCTGGTAATTTGTTAATTCTGATAACTTTTGACTCAACACCACAGGCATGTTATCCTTTGCAGAAGTTAATAGCACAACTAAAAACTTAACCTCTGCTGTCTAAAGCGCATGTGGCATCTATGCGTGGACACATTATGACGATATTTCGAGCACTCTACAAATTGCTGATGTGATCCGTTGAATCGCCATGGTGAATGAACATCTTAGACAGCGTCATTCCCTCAAGGGTATTCAACCCCATTTATATGTCGACTTGGAAACGGAATAATATGTTCCTGTTTGTGTGAACTAAGTCTACGCTAGTACATGCCTTCAGTGTAGTCGGGAATTTCATGGAACAACAACCGCACATTACTAATTTGTGCAATGTTGTATTTTTGACTTTAAGCAACCGGCAACATTTCCAGGTTCTGCTCAGAAAAGACACAAGTCATTTTGGCCGACTACTCCCGCTAAAGAAATCGTGCTGAGTGTGTACGTGCAAAAGTGCCCTAAGGATTGAGAGGAATGTTGACATTTGAGGTTTACTGTGGTTAAGTGTTTCCAATTTCTGCCCTACAATAATCCCCTGAACAATCTCAGAAATACTCACTGTAAAAAAATTATGATGATTGGACGACACGAACTTTACCTTGTGGGTCATGTTTACTTTCAAACGATGTTTGGAATCTATCTTGAGGATCTGCGTTTTACTCAATTATACTTCTGGAAGCTGTGGTTTTGATCTGAGAAAGTTCTCGAATCGCTTTTGTTTTGCCAGCTAGATAATTTTCATGCCTAAGTAAATTTCACATGAAACAAAATGTTTTTGCAAAAGAGCTGGCAATGGCAGTGTCCACTCGTGTAGATTCTCCTAAATTCTTTTCCTGTAGTTCGAATTAAGAGTCAACCTGAGATTAAGGTGTTGTGGGCCCCAGCATGTGGTCTTGAACCACGCCGGAGCCACGGAATTAATCCTGGCCCAATTACGCTTGCCTGATACACGCGATGAAGAAAAACAATCGGAGAGGACGTGGACACAACCGTTTACTTCAGAGCTTAACCATAACTGGTGCCGTTGTGTCGGGTGTGGAGTTTGCGCGTGTGTTTCCATGCCTCAGATGTGTGAGTCATACATGAGCTAACGTCGAGACCCGTGTGTGAGGATAATCTAAGATAAAAATCCGTGTGAATGAGGGGGCAGTTGAGGTTCCGCGCGGCTGGCGACATGCTGCGAAAAGGAGGCCCCTGTGTTAGAGGCTGCAATGATCGGATTAACGATTGTGAATCAACGCTATTCACAATAAGAGGTTGCGGTATTATCACTGTTCTAAAAGTGATTGGTTAAAATAACAACATGCGCTTTACCTTTTGGACACTGCCATGGTAACATGGATTTTAGAGCAGCCGATCACGCTCGCTATTCCAATTGGCGCGTCAACAACTAAGGGCTTATTTTCAATTTGTTAATTTCCTCTACCTTCTGGCTATTTTCGTTTTTAATAATGCAGTTAATTGTTCAATCCTTACTTTGTCATAATCCTCTATAAAACAAGGTTTCGATATCATTTCGACCTGACTCGTGTGCTTACACTTGTTTTTTCAGCTAGTATAGTGTTCCGACATGTAAAAATGACATCTTTAAAACCAAATATTTTAGCCTTAAAAGACTGATTATGGTTCAGAGAATCAAAGTTGAAAGGTTTCAAGTAAACGTCGGTCTCCTCTAATAACTTTAAATCTACAAAGCATTCGAATTACTTTTCATTAGCTTTAAATAACAGGTAATCCAAACCAATGGTGATTTAGCTTAACTCAACAAAACGCAGGCGTTTACTAAATTGAGAATATCCGATTTCTGTACCTACGGCGTTCAAATACAACGCCCTTTTTCTAAACGTTTAGTTCTTTATTTTTTTGATTTATGGAGGAATCATCTATTTGTCATCAGTCTAGTTGGTTTAAGAGTACTTTGGACGGTATTTTTCTTAACATCTTTCTAGCCTATGAAATAACAAGGTAGATGCGTTTGAAGTCGGCTACATGCTTGATTTCGTTTCATTCCAACCCTCGAACCTTGTCACTTCGATTTCAGGCGACTTGTGCGCCGCTACTTTTCATGAATTAGCCTCGCGGAAATTATGAAGACTTTGTTTTAGAGACTATAAAGTTTTAAGTAAATGAAAATGTTAATGGGAGGTTTTTGTATTTTACGTCTGCGTCGGAGAAACTCTAAATTTTGAAAACTGGGTGCACTTCTAGCATTTACGCACACGCTCTATTAATTTAAACAATGGAAGTAGAGCGTATATCCAGTTGCTAACGTAATGTTGACGTATTATTTTATCTTTATGTGTATCTTAAGCCAATATACCATGCACAATTTAAAAGTTACGGTGTTCATAAAAAAATTATTTAATCTGTGTTTTGTAGGTTGTGGTTCAGCCGGGCTGCCGAACTAAAGCCAATTTCGTTATCACAGAGGGAAACTATTTCGGGATGTTTAAAGTGGACACAGTATTTGAAGGCAAACTGTCTGTTATTTTGTGCGACAAGCGCAAACGCCAAGTTACGATGCTAAATATTGATGACTTGAGGACCATATTGAAGCCTGAGAAAGGATTTAAACCACTGGAAGGCGGAAAACCAGGATCTGTGGTTTTCACAAACGAAGGAGTGTGTTCCTGCAACTACGGCATTGAACAGCATGTGGAACTACGTGAAGAAAAGCTCTAACTTCTAGTGTTAATCACTAGTATTCTCTTGTCTAAATATTCTTACCAAATGCCATTTCTACTTCGAAAATGTGCCTATGTTCTGCCCTTTGCTAGAAATCAAGCAAGTTGATCACCTGTGGTTTCACTTAGACCCACTGCTGATACGTAACTATCACCACAGGTAGAAGGTCGCAATCTGAAGATAAGAACAAGAAACCGCAGCATGCAACTTATGGTAAATCAGAGATGATAAATTCGCAGTTTAGAACAAGCTTTCAGCTAATATTGGCGATTTTAAAAAGTGACAGTTAAATTATACAAAACCCGTATAAATAGAAGGCAGTCACGGGGGGCACTGTTTAGTCACTGTCAATTTCTGGAAAAAAATTAATAATAATAATAATGTTATTTTTTATACACCACCGGAATCAGGTTTGAAGTTGGACGCTTATTACAGATATAATCTAAAGCAAATAATTGAACACATGATCACTAACTTAAAAAAGCAAACCATCCTAGGTGCCTTTTAAATATACTGGAAATGACAGGAGAAGTCTCATGATGTAAGCATAAAAAAATATTTTTTTTTAAACATATGTACAGTAACCGTAAATATACAAAGGAGGCTTAAAATAAAGTGTAGAAGAACTAACCATTCATTCAGTGACACTGAGGTAAATCATCACAGTCATGAAAAAGGAGGAGGTGGATCTGATTGCATACAAATGACCAGCTAACAAATTAATTTACTTTGCTGAGACTAGCATTAAGGCCCAAGTAATGTAATTTTAACAGAATTAGTAACAAAGGGATCAATTTACAAAGTTTAGATATACTCTTGTTTCAAGCGAAGATAAATAAGTCCGAATTACGATATACCTGAGAGGAAAAATCACTAGGTTTTGACTGGTCATCTTGTGTGATGTATTGCGGAAAGTCTGAGCATGCTCATAGTTTCAGGATAACCGAAAGGAAAGATAGATATTGACTTCTCTTAATTAAAAAAATCTAGCAGAATTATGTAACCCTAACCGTATAGGGGTGATTAAAATAAATCGTTTTGTCAAGTTGCCAACGAGAGATTGTGGAAGATCAGGGTTGGCTGTTAAAAAAACGATATAAAAATCTAAAAATACAAGTTAATTTGCAATTCTGAACTATTAAAATTAGAAAATGATAAATCCAATTTGACAAACGGCATATTGTCACGAAGCGTGCTAGGTACTCAGGAGAAATTAGTGAGTGCATGAAAGTGTCCGTACAATTGGAACCACAAAATACGAGAAGCTCTACACCAAAGTAATCTCATTCATCCCTAAATTACTTTTTTAAAAATAAAAAAAACGACAAAAAGAACATGACAAAACAGATTACAATCACACCTATTATCTAAATTATCTCATTATAATATAGTGCAGTATTTAGTGCTAATCAGTGTTGAGTGTATATATGGAAAATTTTTATTTATTATAAAGGAAAATTATAGTTGGGTTTACATGAATTTTTTTGCTGCATTAAGTTAAATAGACATGACTAATTAATCTCATAATATATATCTACAACAGAGGCAATAACTTTGTTTTAAAATGCTTGGAAATAACATAATAGAGCGCTTTAATCTAAAAGGTGGTACATTATACAATTAAAGCCATGTTCACCCATATTGTACGAATTGTATTCAACCAATGGTTTTAGCGAAAACTGAGGAAACTAAACATTGATTTAAAAATATCAGTAAGCAACTTTTCAAAATTGCTTGCATTTATTTCTAAAAATTGAACACGAATGTGGCAAGGAAAGAATGGTAAATGTTTGGATTGGGAACATGGGCAATGTTGTCATAAATTTTATTTAGAGGTACAAAAAAAGCCGTAACTGTTTAAATAAATTTTGAAAAGAGGTGCTTGAAAAAATTCACGGAAGCAAAGTAGCGTTTTCATAAGTCCTTCGATGAATCTATCTACTACAGCAGTTTTCACTTCGATGCTTTTTAATTGCACAGACTTATTGTTGACTTGAATTGCATGGTTTCAATGTAGACGTATTTGTACGGCCCGTTATTTAAACAAAAAACATTAGTAGCATATGCTTTGACAACATTTTAACTCGAATTGTTTGATTGTTTTAATGAACTCTAAGGGTTTGTTTCGCTAGTTTTAACCAATCTTCTCTCAAGTTCACTGTTTTCCGTACACCTGGGTGCGCGTGGCTGTCTTAACCTGTTTGTTATATTTATTTGTCTGAATGGTTTCAAATAGCAATATGTCTTCTGCTAACCTGTCTGTTGCAAAGATGAATTTTATGGAAATATCGTCCCTTGCTGAGCAATTTGTTCTGCAATATTATGTTGTTATGGACAAATGCCCGGAATTACTTCATCGCTTTTATGGGGAAAATTCCCGTGTAATTTATGAAAGCTCCCCCATATGTGGACAACACGATATTCACGAGGCCTTTTCAAAATTGAAGCTTAGTGACACTCGTGTTGTACTTCACACGGTGGATGCTTTAAAGGCAAATGAAAATTCGGTCATGGTTCAAGTAAGGGTTTCTGTGGATTTTTTTTATTAGTCTAGGTTTGCGGTGAAATCAGTGTTGCTGGAGGTGAACCCCGTCGTTTCATGCGGAGCTTCACCTTGTGCGAGAAGACACAATCTGACTTCTACGTTCTGAGTGATATTTTCCGGTACCAGGACCGAGTTTACATTCCCGAACCAAACGACACAAATCCCAGTCCTGGTAAGTTATTGCCTAAATTTAGTTTTTTATAGTAGTTCCTGTCGCTGAACCAAAAGAAAGCAAGAAGTCTGCTCCAGAGAAGAAGATAAATGCTAAACCAAATGGAGTTGCGCACACTCAAAAGCAGCAATGGCAGAGACCTCAGCCACAAGAAAAAAAGCATGACGTGCCTTCTCCTCCTGTTACTAATTCGGTAGAACAGGAGCCTAGGAAGGTGGAATCGCCTGCTCCACGTTCCATTACACCAAAAGCGAAATTAGATGAATCACACCATCCGATTGAACAACCGGTTATGCCAGATCCCGTTCCGCAACCTTCAACAGCTGCTCCAATGAGTTGGGCGCAGAGAGCGTCAGGAATAGCGGCTGCTTCGTCAACTGCCAGCCATATGCCTCAACCTCAGCCGCCCCAATCTACGAAGCCAATCTCTAATCCTGAGTCCGTTCCTGCTTCTACCGGTTCACAAAGGAATTCTCACAAATCGTATGTACGCCATTGTCCTTTCCCTTTCACCTGCACCTTTGCTTTGTAGGCAACGTGGACCTCGTCAACAACAGGCGGATACTCGCAGAGACTCAAACAGTGACCGTAGTGATGTAAGTGGCTTAAAATTTAATGCCATAAAACTGTTAGTAATTTTTCGCAATCCCCTAGCTGTGTGTTTGATCTTAAATCTTGGTCATTGGTAGTTGTGGGTTCGTGACTGAGTTGGGAATAGCCAAACATTTAGCATTTTCTGGTATTCATTACGCCCTCTCTCTTAGACCGAGTGCTTTCACAGCTCGCGTGAGACTGGTTAAAGTGTAGCTCAGAATACTTCCTTCACCCTGTAGTTCCGCATCAAAATCAGAGTCCAAGGTGGTTCTCAAATTTATATTTAACCTAATCGGTGATTTTTTTTTCGACACGCATTTCCCAAGTATTTGGGTGTGAATGAGAATAATGTAACCTTACCGGCATAATTTACATGTACTCAAATATATTTGATCAGTGCATACCGGGGTGGTAATAGGCTTGAAAACAGGCTTTGTCTGAGGCCCACATTCTACTCACATTTCTAATTGTTCTTGTGATTTGAGAGTTGATAAAGGTAATTCACTGCTAGTGATCACTTCCACCCTTATTGCTTTCTATAGTACTATCAGCAGCAGCAGCAGCAGCCACAAGCTCCACAACAGCAGCAGGGTTTTCCGCCGTCAGGTGGTCGTGGGCACGCTGGCCCCAGAGGTGGAGGTCGCGGAACTCGTGGAGCCATGCTTTCTCGCGGTGGCGGTGGAAGCAACCGCGGAACTGCTGGTGCCCCTTTGAGACGTTAGTGTGTGTGTGTGTCACATCGGTGGTCTACCTCCCGTCCATCTACTTCTTCCGTGACCCACATCGTCCAGCTCCACTCAAAAGCCCCTTTTCTATGACCCGCCCTTCGCCACGCAAGTTGAGTGTGTAATCACCTCACCCGTCTGAAAGCCCGCTTTACTACCACCCGGTTTCTTCTGTTCCTTTTGCATTTAAGAAAGAAGGATGTAGTCTCGTTTCGTCTTGCTAAGTTGCCCCAAGTTTGGGGAGATTAGCTCAAGTTACCCATGGTGCGTTTCTTTCTCCCTGTGCCGTTTTATCGGCTTTGTGGCTGCGATCAACGCGACGATTTGCGAAGGCCTTGCACGTTCTCGTTTTCTTCAACGTTGCAATCAATATTGTATGCTAGACAAGTGGTCCCGCATTTAATGGCCGTGGGGTTCGCGACACTCAACTCTAAGACGTGAGGGCCGTAGTTGTGTTCGGTTTGCATTTCGGTCTCATTAAATTTCATCAATCGGGCATAACTTGCTTGCCTTTAGTGGGTCCTCACGTCGCTCCCACCTTCACTCCAGGGGTGGAAGTCCTAACTAGTTTTCTGGTTCGCGCTCTTCAACCGATTTGTGCAGCCTAAACCACTTTGGAATATGTAATTTCGTATCGCTCTAGTAAAAATAGTGTTTTATTTGGAACCTCTGTTAACAACGTGTGCTTCCTAATGTGGGGTTAACTTTTGCATAGGTAATGTTCACCTGTTGCATGTACTCACGTGATAGAAAATGAGTGGTTATCTCGTTTACAAAAATGGGGTATAAGGTACACGGGGAAGGCTCGTCTATGTTGTTCCAGCATGGCGTAGACAGCGGCTTAATGCGGACAGTCGTTGAGGAGGTGGAGCGGAAGAGTTGACGGGTGGTGGCCCTTTCTGATGGTCCTTTTTCGACGGTGACTCATGCTTCGTAGTCAGTCCTTTGGAGGTGACACTTCCACCTCCACGTTTACCACTGACAGCGACGGATATTGGCAATTGCTGTTCCTTAATATGGAATAAAAATTGATACTACAATAACTTAGTTGACCTAGTTGTGTCTACTTAACTTGCTTCTAAATAATGCCAACTTTTTGATGTTTTTGCATTTTTCAACAAATTTACATACCTCACTTATCATAACTGTATCATCGACCTCCAGGTGGTGTTATGAATTTTCGGCTAGTCATAAGCTGCTACGCCAGGTTCAGTGGCACCAATGTTACTGAGTGAACTCACGCTTGTTCGGTTTTATCCACAGGCACAAAACTCTCGGAAGATTGTTTTCTCGAAAGATCCTGCAGTCTTTCCTCGGCAACAAACATCAATTTAGACTTGATCGCGGGGTAATTCCTGAGCACCTCGCACAGGTCATGTTTCTCCAGGGAGTACAGATTGCAGTAGGTCTTGGCTTGAATTGTCGCTGTGCGCCGACTATTGGTGAGAACGGCGATTTCTACAAGTAGTTATAAACAGTACAAGGGGATTCGATATCTGCTTTGTAATGAATAACTTAACATGCAAAGCCAATTGTGTAAGCCTCAATAATGAGCTTTAAGGGCAAGACGCCCAGTGTGTTTCCCTCTAAAACTGCCAGCTCAATGAAGAGGGCAAGTCGGTTATGAAATCAATGAGTTTAGCCTGAGTGGCTGGCTTTTGCGTGTTTGGCAATGCAGGTTTTCACTAGTCTGCAGGACAAAAACTAAACTGTCCAATTACAGTGTGGTGAAGACAACTAGCCAGAGGGATTGCCTTCAAGGCGGCTATGTCGTTGCCTTGACATTAATGACCTGTGCGGGTATGTACACGGTAGTCTATTTGGGCACACGAATCTCATGCGTATCGTTTGGGAAGAGTTGCATCAATGAATAGAAACAGTTTTCTCTTCCACTTGGCACGACTAAAGCAGAAGAGACTGAACTACTGCAAATTACACTGCACTCAGTTAAAAAGGCAGGTTTGAGCAACTATAGGTATGCAAATGGTTGTTGCCCTTTTCGGGGGTAACATCTTGGCAAAACACTTATTTTTGTGACTCAAAACTGCGAGTAGAGGTATTTATCATCAAGGAGTTACGGACAAAAGATTTCAACAAGTTGTCATCAAAAATTAACTAGACATTTATTGAAACCAAGTCATAATTGAGGACTTTAATCGGCATTCAGTAATGTTTGGCAATAGGGATTCAGAAATCCCCAAGATGACTCATCATCGGTTCTCGTCATTGTTAGCACTAATCCACAAACCAGGCCACTTCAGTGGGTGAATCGCCCAACTGACAGCTTCAGTGGTGTTAGTCTGCCTCGATCCATCGGGTCAAGGTGACCCTTGGCATAAATCAGTGTTAATATTCTTACAGATCACTAGGCCTTGAGGTACACGCTGTCTTGTCGTGTTTGGCATTAGCATAGGAAAGTCGGTTCTAGCGTCAGACAAGGGATCTGCGCTACCGGTCATCTGAGCGTGTGTTGTCTTGGTTACCGGCAAACGTAACACCTAGTGGGGAAAGTTTCTCCACCTTGTGTTAAACTTGAAATAGCAAAACAAGGATTGATGCATCAAACTGTCGTTCAATGCAAATAATTGGGAATAATGAACTTGTTCTTTAACAGAGAATTCAGCCTATCACAAACCGATGTCAAGAAAAAGGAGGTTACGATTCTGTGAATCCCCGATTTAGTATATTTAGGTGAAAATAATTGGATCATTTTAATGCAGAATTGTTGTGAATAAATAGGTGCACGGAGTACACAACATGTACGCTGAAAATTGAACCAAGTTTCCAAGGTGGCTTTGCAGCGACCTACCACGATCTGAGATGGTTTCTTCAATACCAACAGGATTTCCTTACACTTAGTAGCAACTTATTTGATTATCAAATCTCACCTTAGATGTAGTCAAATTATCTGCCAATTAGAATCTTCATAGAGTGAGTTAAGATAGCAGGTGGCTTTTACGACTGAGTTGCCACCAAGTTAAACCCCAGAAGGGTAAATCAGCAAATTCAGAGGTGATAAATGCAAATGACCATTCCTAGCCGCGAAACCTCGATGAATTGACCCAAAAACTAAGACGTAAATCTACTCACTAATTTGCTGGAAGGCTGATGGATTTTTCTTCCAATCACGGGGCTCGATTTCGGTTTGCCACTAAGTTGATTGGTGCATTTTGTGCTTGACTCTTTTTTTAAGATATCGTAAAAAGAGCCTTGCGTGAATTACTGCATTAGCTGAAATCGCTCAAGAGACTGTGTGCATGAATACTGCCTCGCCTGACAAGCGATCGCACACTTCTCAAGTCCCATTTGAAAGTGTGCGTTGTTGGGGCATCGGAATCCGGATTGGTTCGCTGTTGATTTTAACTAACCTCAAAGGTCCGTTGTTTGTCTGTGAGGGTTTTTACAATTGCACACGTAAATCATGGAACCTTAGAAAAAGCTTCGATCGACGTACAACCACATGGTGCCTGTGCACGGAGTTTGATCTCGCACGCGCTAATTGCATTTTACCAACAGATTGGTCCACGGATCAGAGGTCTTGAGTGAATCGATCTTGACCAGTGCCCCTTTTGAACGACAAGATGGGAGGGGATATACTATTGTGAGAATCTGAGTAGCACAAACGCTCTCCTCTGTACGCACTAGTTCTTTATCCAAGTAAAATCCACCAGGATAGCACTGGACAGAGGTACTATAGGAGAAATGTTTGCATGGTGGTCATATCGACACACAGATCCAAAAGTACGAGGCAAATTTCAAAACTGTTTTATTTGACGCATTTGGTTGGAAAGCTGGCTTCAAGCTTCAAAAATTCATTCTCTTACTGGGATTCAGTCTCAGTGTCTGCGGCAATTGACGCGAAGATCAAGGTATTATCACCTAACAACATCGAGTTCAAATGTATTCGGAAATATTTCGGGGACGTAAAATCTGTGTGATCCCAAATTTCCTGAACACACACGAGAACTTTTCTATTCTACTGTTTTCCCATTCCTTTGTCATTCAGAGGCGGATTTGTACGTTTTTATTACTCGTAAAATGTTCGCTCACACAAGAGTTCTCTGCACTATAGAAAAATTTGCAGTGAGTTTACGCAAAGCCGAGTTAGTGGTTCACAACTAGTCCGATGCACAGTCCCAACCCGTTCTTTCAGTTATTCATTTTGTCATTGTTTACGCATCAAACCCTGCTCACCATGTTATGTGTTCCCCGTATTATTAACTTTATAGCCATTATAACGGTTAAGCAAACCGTCAACTTAGACAAAACTACACGACCTACTGAAAGCTCTCATTATGATAAATCCAAATAAATTTTAATGCTAAAGCAATCAAAAGTATTAATTTAAGTATATTGTAAAATGTATTTTACGTTCATTGGTCCGGACAAAGTTGTGTTCGAGTTAGCTTTCTGCCATCAATGTTACACATATTACCAATTAAATATAAGTAGTAATAAATTTACCTCCGAAATAGGCCCCGTCTGAGAGTGTGTTCACCATGGTTCCGTCGGGAAGGATGATGTCGACCGTGCCCTCGCGGATAAAGTACATTTTTGTGCCCAATGTGCCGTGCTTTATGATAATATCGTTGGGGCGAAAGACTTCGAATTTTAGCCTATTTAGAACATCTACCACGAAATTTTCGTCCTCGTCTTTGAAAAAAGGCACCGCAGCTACCAGGGAACGGCAATTGTAGTTCACGATTTGCTGAAATTGCAAAGAAAAACCAATTATAAATCCCTGAATATTCCTTCGCAAATGGTAGGTGGGAAATTAAATCACACTTCCACGGTTTTCATTAATGGCCTCAAAATGTAAGCATATTAACAACTTTGAGGATATTTGATTAAATGAACGTCGTGTGGGATTGAGAGCAGTGCTTACAAGCGTCAGATTGCGTGAATCAAATCTGACCTCCACATATTTACGCCAGTAACCAGCTAATTTTAGTTTCTTTGTGCGCAAACAGTCATTAAACATAATGTTGACAATCCAAACCGATTGGCTTAATTTCTATTGGTCACGGTTTCTGTCTAACACAGTTCATACACACCTTTTACTGATCGCAATGGACAACGCGTTTTACTCGGTAGTTCGTGATTGGCGGTGTTCTCTTCTCCTGACTGACGGGAAATTTCTCTTGACTGCTAAGGGCTATTTTTAAGGGGGAAATCCGGCATTGTCGTGGCAGTTTGCGTAAGTACCCTGCAACCTCAAACCACTGGCTGTTTCAGTCAAAACATCCGCTGTTACACCGTGAGTACAGAAAATCCCGTATTAAACTCACTTTCCTGTTCATTCATTGCCGTACCTACAACACTGCGACTCCTAGAGTTTGGTCATCAGGCAAAATCTTGGATAAAAATTGCAGTGCGTGTGATCAAATTCATTGTCCGCAACACCCCATGGATGACTCATTCACAAAAAGCGACAATAAGTTGTGTGGGAGAATTCTCCTTTGGTTTCTGGTGATTGGCAGATCTTCAAGGTCAATCGGTGTAGGGAGGCCCCAGTAGTATTATTATATTCTACACTGCTATTTATTAAATTATTGTCACATGATACGGAGGCATTCATTACGAGACGGTTTCATAATGTACGGACATTAAGAGGGAACAGTGACTCAGCAAATTGACCGGTAATACCGCGTCCCTTCTAGTCCGAAATTTGTGGCAGAAATGGTTCCCAGTGCAGCAACAAGCTACCTGGGACATCCTGTTGCTTAATCTCACAGTACCCATGGTAAGAATCGACTAATTGAGTTCATCGCTAACGCAAACCGCCTTTACCAGCTTGGTAATGGTTGTTGAACTCGGTCAAGGCATATTCAATTGTCTGTCTACTTAATTTAACTTACTTTAACATTTTTGGAGAACAGGCAAAGTGACCCATATTCAACAACATTCCTTAACCTGGATCAAATTTGTGGATAGCCATTACAAACTCCTGAATTTTCTCACTCTTAACGTCAACTCATTTGTTTCAGTCCAAACTTTTGCACTTGCCGCTGTTATTTTATTATTTCACGGATGTTTTCAACGAATCTCCATGCTACTCTTCAATCGCCCTTTGGAAATAAAGGCCCTAGTTGGCAAACATTTTGACAGCAAACGCTACACCAATCACATCGCAACATCGTGTCTACCACAATCTTTGGCAGAAAACAAATCAGGCAAGGTGCTAGCCAGCATAGTGTGTGCTAAGCAACATTCCTTACAACAGTTCAACTTGTCTACATGTACGTGTGTAGGCCTTTTCAGTGCCTCTTCTGCCTAACACGCTGATTCTGCTGATGCCTGGTGACTTAATGAACAGGCGTGACCCACTGCCTCTGAACCTCTCTACCTACCTCAAGAACATCTTGCAACATCCGCCAACAACTCAAAGAAATCGAGATCATGCAAAAGCCTGTCATGAAAAATTTGTGTCCGTAAACACACGCTCCTTGGAATGATCAAAAAAGGCAGAAGAAATCCATTACTGCCATTGATAAATTGTCTGGTTTCATTTGTGTTGGACCTAAATGCAAATTGCTTAGACATTCAGAATTAGAATGGAAAATTGCAAAACCGTTTTGAAGTCCTAAAGCGTCTGATTATATTACGGCTTGACAACAGCTAAATACAGAGCTCTCTTGCACCTGATTGGCACATGAAATATTGCCACTGGCTTTTGTGTTTTAAATTTGGAGAAAGAAATTTCATATGCCACAAAAAAGCTCAGAAAAGGACTATTTTATTGTTGAACCAGATTATTTCTTCAGATTTCTTATGCAGCAATAGTCGAAACGATGTATCTATTGTTTACTGAAATTTCAACATGGTGCTTAGGGACATCGGTAAGCTGGCAGTTAGCTGCTGGAAGTTGCAGCACAATATTCAAGTAATCGCAGAGGTCTTTATTGATGTCAAGGCAGCGAAGTTATGACTAGACAAGGCAAAGACTGCACACAACAATTTACTGTCGTAGTGTGCGCTAACCTCAAGCCTTCAGAATTTTCCAACCACATGACTCACCAATTATTGTGGCGTGGAGTACCATATGTCGTCACACAACACAGTACCAACTCACGGTCCACAGCCAGTGGACCTTACATCTCTTAGCATTCGTGAATTGTTGTTTTCGTCGGCGAAAGTTATCCTTGCTACCGACAGCCGCATTCGCGATCGATAGTGATTCCGTAAAATGGTCCTGCCTACTATCCAACATAAGCCAAGGAAAAAGCTAGCACTGATTTCGACGAGTTTAATTAGGTCAAATTTGACGAAAGCAAAGAAGTTGGCATTAACAACGAGCATAAAAATAACTATTTGTGTGGCACAGGTAATTTTTATCATGCAATCTTGTTTCTAGGGCAGAAGCCGTTTCAGTGAGATGCTTGTGTTATTTGCCATAATGTGGCATATACTACTTAAATGTAGCCAGGTTGGGAAAAAATTAATCAAATTAAAACTCCTAAGAGCCAAAAAGACAGTCATTCCAAAAAGAAACCTAATCCATTCGGGAGAAATCACACACTACTTACTTGCAATTTATTAGAGTCCGTTTTATTTGTTTCACTTATTTCACACAACCTCTTTTAAAAATTGACTTAGTGCGGTTCGCCTTTTAATTTTGTTTTCTTATTTCGAAACGTTTTTTAGTAAAGTACTCGACAAAGGAGCGGCAGCATTAAACTTCAAATTGATGGCCGACATTGCCCATGATTGGTAGTACAAATTTTAATTGAATGAAGCAAACTGACGCTAGATTAGTTAAAAGTGCGAAAATAGTTTAATGTCGCTTGAGAACGTTGCAGGATGCCTTTTTAAAATGTGGAATGCAATGTTCTTTTCTACCTTGTTTTTGTTAAGAATTTCTCGCACTAGACGGTTATTTGAAAATGCAAAATTTGTTAGCACAGATTCAGAGTATTTCGGAAATAGACTTACATCTCGAAGACACTCCGAGACCTCCTGTAGAATTTCCACTTCGTTGAAAAATTTTCCATTGTACCGGTGCTCGTAGTAGTCAATTATCTTATTGCGAAGTTCCCTGGGCAATTTCCTGTAGGACATGTACTCTTCTACTTGCTTCATCTAGAAAGTACAGAATCATAATGAGCACCTTTGACTACAGAAAGTCATAAGAAGGCAAAAAAAATAGTTCCAACTGTTAAAAAACCGCAAATTTTAGGCTGTGCAATGACAGATTTAACAATGCCACATTTTTAAGTGTTAAACAATCCTTTTTTAATGCATTCGCAGATGTTTTGGGATTAAAAAGAACCAAAATCAAGTCGCATTAACCACCTTCTGTCTATAACTCCTATGGTTACGAAAAATGTGTTTTCATTAATTCCCATCAGATTGTGTTAGGCAGGATATGGGAACAGTTGCACGTCCAATTGACTGAGGATTCCGTTCACTTAAAAAGCTTATCCATCTTACGAAATTTCATCAGAAAACCAAGGAATTTAGTGACTTAATGCACTAATTTTTTGTAGACACAATTTATAGCTTATGTTACGGCCATAAGGTTGACTACTTGGTCTTGTGTTTTGTTTTTGTTTTCCGAGTTAAGTGGTTTGTTTCTTGTTGTGATTTTTATGTTAAATTTGGTTATCTGTAAACTTTAGAAGTTTCGGTAGTAAACAATTTTTGCCGATTTGTAGTATATTCAAAGAGTATGTGTTAAATTTAGGTAAAATTGCAGTTGGTCCTTTTTTAATGCGTTCTATTCTTTTTATATAAGTTTATTATTATTGGACAAGTCGCAATTTTTCTCGTGGATTTTGCGAAGTTGAGTTAAAAAAGATGATGTGTTTATTTGCTGGCGTGCTGATGTTGTTTCTGATACCTTTTTTACGTTCACGTTCATCTATTAAAACGCTACTATCTTCTCGATTCGGTGATGTATGTTCATTTTTTTAATAGTGGCATCAGTTTGTTGTGTTCGGTAATGTAATTTTGCTGTTTTTACGAAGATAGCCAGGTTTGTATTTGACTGTTGCTTCTGTAGTGTTGTGAATCACGTTGATTCACACTAATTAATCCCCTTTTTCATGGCATTTAACCAGTCCCTAAGGTTCCTCCACTCTCCCCTCATTTGAACGAACATCTATCCCGGATTATCCTCACACCTAGGTCTCGATGTTAGCGTTTTAATTTTTTTTAACTGTAAAAAGTTCAGTCCACCCACATTACCCAATCAGTGGAATGACATGTCATTCGTTTTACTTCTTGGATTACTTTTTACATGATTTTTGATAAGGAAAAAGTGACAGGTGTTTGTGACAGCTGCACACTCCTACTATACCATTAACTAAAATTTGTTCTTCCGAGTTGATTGCTCGTACTATGATTTAAATTTTAAAAAAAAGAGCCCACTACTTGATGCAAAAAGCGTTTGGTTAGATAAAAAGCAGTTTGCTTATTCAGTTAAAATTGATAGCCTTAAACTTTGTTGAAATATATCGATAGAATTGGGTTTGTGAGGACATAAGCAATGAAAAACAGTCTTACTTTCGCTTACGGTTGATGAGGTTTCGTGATCCAGGTTTTAATTTTTACAATAACAAGTAGCTCGAAATCAAAAGTGTCACAAAAAGGAAAGTAAATTTCCGGAGAAATAAATTTGAAGGCATCAGAATCGCACCAAAGTTTGGCCATAGTGCGTAATTAACTGCAATTAATAAATCTAAATATGATGCCTTCTAATCATCGACCACCTGGCGACAAATCTATGTACACGACTTCAACCAGCTCCTGGATTTATATATCTTCGCATGGTTACTGTGTGCGCAATCCGTTCACGAGGAAGTGAACAGTGAAACTAATCCTCACAGACGTTTAAACGTGGTTTTGGTTTGACCAGTGAAGTGGCCACCAGCTCACATGTCTTATTCTAACGTCTGCATACTCAACTTAGGTTATCCCCGAGGACGGTAAAAAGAGTGCATTATGTTGAGTCTTTTGTGAACCAAGGTGTGCACTGCTTAGACAATTTTCAACTCCAAACCATGACTATTGACCACAAAAATAGAATATCCCTCGTCTAACTAATCGAGCTTTTCCGTACTACATGATTCACCAGATCAAGTAATTTTGTAAGTGTGAGTAAGGTAGCATCAACTGTGGGCTGCTGATTGCGCATTGAAAACCACAAAGTGCAAAAGCGTAGAAGTGCAGAGCACTGAGGGTCAGCTGCACGCATAACCACCACACAAAATAGTGAACGCCATGCTGACGACGAGCACTTATAAAGTGCTGACCAATGAGGCGCGTGGTAGGATCAAACAGAATACCTACTCCACGTGTTCTCCAAAGGCAATGCAGTTTCTTAACTGGGTCATTCTATGGGTTTAAAATGGCCATGGAAAATGATGTTTTTGCCTAGTCAAACTAGTTTTACGGATCAAGTCGAAAATTCGAACGGCCGGAAATTCGGACAGAACGCATATTTATCGACAATCTGCTTTTTAATGTATTCTCGCATTTATGTATGACGAAAGAGGATTTGATGTTCAACAACGTTAAATGCTATTTGTTTGATATCACGGGTAAAGGCATTCCAACTCCGTGGTGTCGAGATTCAAAAGGCACCGAAACGGCAAAAGAGTAATTGTGCTTTTCATGGATTTTGTGTATAGGCCTCTCTCATTTGTAGCTGTTCTTGATCAACTTCAAAATGCTCTAATCTAGCCAAAAAGTAGTCGCGATATTTTTACCTGGTCTGACGCATTAATAACTCGAGCGATAGAAACAATTTTATTAACGTTTTACAACGCATATCACTAGTTTGTATATGTGTAGGCATGTTTGGTTCCAGGCAAACAATATGGCTACATGACCATTACACTTGACATAACAAGAATTCGGCAAAGTCACGGTCAACTTTTAGTTAAGACCACATTTATGGAAAATGGTATACATTTACATCTGCGATGTATATGTGAGGAACAATCCAATAACTTCATTTAAACTTTCTGTTGTGAAAGTGTTACGTTGGCCCGTTGACAAGATAGCACGCACTCAGATAACCTGTATACAGATCTTTTATCTTACGCTAGAACTGACCTTTCCATGCTAATGCAAGACAAGTCATCGTACAGATAGTTTTATCATCTTAGTTTTGGCGACACAGGCGAGATGGGTGATAAAGTGATGGAACTATTACTTGGTTGTCGATTCTGGCAGATCGCCAGGCGTCTCAAGCCGCTTCCTTACCAACAGTGTTTCGGAGTTCCCCTACGACTTAGAAAATGGCGTAGCGTTCGAGTTATGGTATCGGCGTTACGGAGACTTGTTCCGGGTTGACCTCGCGTCCCAGGACGACGCGTGGAAGTTCAGACTCCTTACACGAAAACTGAGTTTAGCAGAACTAAAGAGATATAGTGCCACGATCCTCCCTACGTCCTCGCTCGACTTTATGTTTGGAGAAACCGTTTAAAATCTTAGGTGGACGTTTGGCAACGCGCCTCCTTGTTCAGTATCCGATACCGATGTCTCAGGCTCTCAATAGGAGAGTTTAATTACTTCCTAGACCATCAAGCAGTAATCACTCGAGAGTGCAATAAAATCCAATTCAAATCAATACGTGATGACCAACTCAACACTTTTTTTCATTTGCAGCCTTTAAATCCCTTAGTACACTGATCTGCAAACGCTGCTGCTAAACCTCATCGATTATAATCCTTCCGTGACGCTAGACGATATCCGCGATGAATACCTACACTGGAGCAGCGTGCCGCAGGACTCCAAAATAACCCAAGCTGGGGGTCGCAGCGTCCAGCATATCAACAAACGACTTCCCACTCCTGGCTCTCCCAGCCTTCATCAACCAAAGTCGGACCGAGAATCAGCCAGCACAAGTCGTCGAAGGCGAATATGAGACACCCCCTCCCAAGTGCTGGCACTGTCGGGCCTGGCATTTTGTCAAGTTCTGCTCTTACAAGCAGCGCCGATACAGGCAATGAAAAGCTATGGACCACAAGGATGGATTCTGTCAATCGTCCCCATCCAACAGGAGTGGACGGCGTCCTCACATCCAAACAAAGAAAAGGTCAAAAACCAACCCGGCCAGCCAGTCCCTCAGCCTACGGATCACCTCCAAAGGTACCCTACTGCAGCAGAGGATGTATAAAACCGCCTTTATCAATGCAGTTCGTCTGCAGCTAGACACAGCCTCGGACAATTCCATCATCTCGGAAAACCACTGGCGCTCCCTCGGGCGCCCTCCACTCAGGGCCACCTCTCAAGCGATAATCAGTGCTTGCGGCGATAAAATTCATTTCTGTGGCCAAATACAATGCTGTGTGTCCTTCCGCGGAACATCTTCCAGTGGCACGTGGTAATTCATCAACACCATGCAGAACCTTCTAGGCGTGAAATGGTTCGAACAATCGGACTTGGCCGATGTCCCGATCAGCTCCATCTGCAATGCCCTACGTCCGTCAAAAACACTGCGAAAAAACCGCGGACATCATCAAGCAGTTCTCCACAGTTCACAAACCTGGATTAGGACACTGTTCTACTACACTGACCACCCTCAATATTTTGCTGGAAACCAAGCCGGTCTTCCGTCCAAAAAGACCGATCCCTTACGCATCGTTACCGCTGGTTGACGCTGAACTAGAGCGTCTTGAACGCAAAGGTGTCCTATCCCCAATCGTCGTGGTAAAGAAAGCAAATGGTTCAATCCAGATATGCACTGACTTTTCCACTACTCTCTTCGCCAAATTCTACCTGGTCAAAGCCTACATACAACTAGAAGTCACCCTTGAGTCCTGTCCACTACTGACTATCAATACCAATCGCGGTTTGTTTCAATACAGCCGCCTACCCTTCAGTGGCAAGACCGCTCTCGCTATTTTCCCGGAATTCACGGACACCATCCTGGCTGGCATTCCTGGAGTGGCAGAGTTATCTGTTTGACCAAACTCAACTAAACCAAAGGATGCTAGTCAAAAATTGTCGTCTTGTGAAACCTTGCATTTGCTGGGTGGCTTAGTGGCTTGATTTTTGTTAATATCAGAACGCTTTTTGCTGATTCATAAATCCCAGCCTTTAACACAATTAGTTACGCCAGTTCATGTGCAACTTCCTAGCTACACCACGCAACGAAGTAGCACTTAAACAATGTGAATAGAAGTCAGTTTGAATTGGCATAATCATCAGCGGTAATGGGTAAACTGCACCAATAGTGATCATGAAAGAAATTCCCATTTTTTAAAATTTTTCCATGGCAAAGGATAACAGCTTTTGCTTTCCTTGCCATTTTGATAAAGTTATTCGCAAAACCCTGATTCTCTACAACTTGCAGTTGCTAATTTTGCACCTTGATTCATGCAAACAGAGAGAATCCATGTACAATTTTCCACCAGTATACGAAATGGCCAACATACAGAATTGTGTTTTACGAGTGCACTTTAGGGTCTATTAAAATTTATTTTGTGTGTCCCTATGAGTGTATTTATGAATTAAATAATTTAAAAATATGGCTATTGAAAGTGTCTAGTGTGCTTTTAAGCATATTGATAGTTTTTTTACATTCGATTGAAAAACAAAGATACAGGTCTAAATAAAAATTAAGCCTACACACAATGCGGATCAGAGGGTGACACAGACTCCAAATGTGAGTTGTAGACTGCATTGTGATAGGGGTACAATGGGATACTAGTAGTTCAAGATAAGTGCCTAGTGATGTTAAATTTTACATGGTATTTAAAGCAGCAAACAAATTGACATGAATACAAGGTAGATTGATTCTGCCATTTGCACAAACCCAGATGTTACGCACTTATAAATTTGTGATAATTTACTCAAATATTGCATGGTCCAATCAATGGGAATGCACACCCGTACCACCTCGAAACGCAGCTTTAGAGGTCGATTATCAATTGCAAACTAATTCTTGTACTGAAGTGGTGTTAAAATTTTCCAAGATTCGCTTTACTTGGTATAAACATAGGCCTTCGGTGTGATTTCAATTCGTGCGTTTAGGTTCGTGTTAAACCTAACGTTGACTTGAACCACGTTGGTATATTCCACTAAAAAATCAGTCGGTTAACTAAGCTTCTAAACTGGTAAATTTCTATCAATATGACTAATCTCGCACGTAGGCACAAGTTCCTTTTTAAAACTAGAGTTGCAGCGTTTAATGCTTATAACATCGCTTGAACTTACTCTCATTTTATTAAAAGCGTAACTCTGTGTTTCGGACACTTAGCGCCCAATTTGATCAAAATAATAGAGTATAATTTAACCAGAGTTTAAAATTATAAGCATAAAATATTACTGTTGCCTATCTGCTTAACGAACAAGTTCAAAAGGCTTATAGAGTCCTCAAAAATATTCATTATTGATCTATTTTCGAATAATTCAATCAATGCACCCTCAAGAATTATGTTGGTTCGCCTGAACCAAATACATTTACAGATGCGTCAAATTGCAGCCCCATTTACAAATTACCCAAGGTTTTCAAATTTTCCAATTGCAGATGGTTTGAGTTTGCACTTTTTGTGAAAAAGCATACATATCTCACAGAAATGAGTAAAGTACAGACGTGTAGTAAGTCATGGTATAAAACCTGAAATTGACTAGACAGCATATTTTTACCAGTCTTGAAAGCATGTCCCATCACTATAAAAGCAACCCAGCACTAAAGACGTGACATAAATCGTCTGTGCGGTTAGACCGAAGTCGTGTTATCTCAGTTTCCCTTCGCCGTTATAACCAAACCCCAAGCATTAAACACTTTTTCCGCGTATAGACCCACATGCAAAGTAGACTGTGAAAAAGATATGTGTAAACTTGAGATTGAGCATTAAAAAACAAATCTATTCGCTTTCTAAACAAAACAATAAATCAGAATGAAGGATTTGGCTCTAATTTCTGCATAATTCTAGACTTAGTATTGAGTATTATGAATGAGCTAATGCATTCAAAGCAGGCAGCCTGCTACTTGAAAAACTAGCAGTATTATGCGCGAAATAGCGTCTGGAACCGTTTATTGACATAAACAAGTCCCTGCTGAACAGAGCATCAACAATATAGCAAGCCTCGTGTCAACCAATCATATTTAAGGAATTGACACTGCTGATCGTGAAATCCAAGCGTACCTAAGAGCACAGTATTGAGGCAATGATTGTTGGTTGCGTAATGCAGAATTAGTGATGTTTACTAGAATATTCTGGTCTCTGTCAACAAACGAGCCAGCTGGGGACTCTTGCCAGATAGTATCTCCTGGGATATGATTGATGAGGAGCGTATAAAGCCGAAATAAGAGTTATTAAGTAGCAATGCGCATAATTTTGTCCTACAGCAAACGCACCTTGAAGTCAGTGAGCGTCAAAATTGCGATGCTGAATGCGGTCATGTCGTCGTGACCTAAGACGCACTGATGCTGCCACCAAACCTGTGAAATGCTTTTGCCTTGCGTTATTGTTTAAACGGGAGCAAAACAGATCTGTACACAACAAAATCTCTTCCTGCAGATGAAAATTCGACTTTACCAACTACCTCCACTTGTCGTTCTTAGCAAAACATGCTTTTACCTGCCAGGTGACCAATGGACCCAATCACCAACTGTAATCAAATGTAGTTATAAAGCGAATCCACTTTTACGACCTTTGAAGTGGCCATGCAATGATGATTGGTAATTATTGAAACAAAGTAAAGGCAACGCTTGACGATATTTAGAATTGAATACATTAGATGTCCGCACACGACACCTCGGTCAGCAATAAACTCTCTAACTACCTGCAATTTTTCAACAACTAAGGTACACATTCGCTAATTGGATCGTTAAAATAAGATGCATTTGTGTTTAGTATGAAAAAAAAATCCTTCTGGCTGAAAGGTGACTATCTGGAATGCGAGATCTGTGAAAGCATGCTTCAACAAACTTGCCTAGCTCAGTTTACCAGACATTGGATTGCCTGATAAGTGCAAAGTTCAATCGGTTTAAGTGAATTGTGATTACTTTAAAATCCTGAATTTGTTGAATAATCAAATTCTTTCCCTGAAACACCAGTCTTTTACACGGCTGAGGACAGGCAATGAGAGTACATACATAAGTTCGTTTCGGAGCTATCTTTTGGTTGCTAGGTTACAGGCGTAGCAAATCGAAAGGGGTTTTCGTCCTGTAGGGTTGACGTTCGGGAAGCATCGCCAAGAAATACTGCTATAAATACTTTAGTTAAAAAGCCGCTAAATCAGTGAGAATGATTCTTCAGTGGACTTAGTAAGCAAACCAGTAAATGAATTAAATAATTATCAATGTTAGAAGCAGAGCCCAATAAGCCTGAGTTTAATCAGGTACCTTGAAATTGGCCAAGTCTCCAACAAAAGCAAATGCGTGTCGTAGGTAGTCAAATAAAAAAAGAAATAAATTTTCTTTTAAGTGCGCCACACAAGAAACTTTTTGAGTCTCTCTACAAAATTTGACAGCCCTTTAAAAACGGGAAATCTATTTTTTTTTCAAATAAATGACTTTACCAACTAAATAGCTCAACTATTCAATGAAATATATTCGTTTTCCGACAGAAAACACAAGAATAGATTTAAAAAAAGAAGCCAGAGAGTGTTAGGTTATTCATAGACCACATGTTTGATGATTCCAAGCAGCAATTTTTTTTGTTGAAAACAGTAGGCATGTTTGAAAACGTGCTTAATTACAAGATCACCTCAGTCATTTTACACTTTGGTAAGATCGCGTTTCAACAACGCGCAGGTTTCGCAAAATGCGATTCCCAAAACCGGAAAAACTAACCAGTCCTTACGTTTCTCGGAACATGACTGCAACTAGTTTTTCATAGCAGGTAGGCAGAGCAGAAATACAGAAATGAAAAGCTACATACATCTAACTAAATTACACTGGTAGTGGTACGGTGACCCACCAATATCACCTCAACCACTGGCAATGAGAATCGATATAAAATCGAGCTTTCGCAAAAATTTTCATTGTGGCTATCAATTTGTTACCTGATAGACTGTTAATTAAAACAAATAAGATGTCATGTACACATAAAAAAGACGTAATTGTGTGTGGATTTTAACCAGTCGGGACAAGAAGATGCGATAATTGCAGAGGATAGACATATCAATTTGCATTTGAAAATGCCTGCGATTTTTGCCTAATTGGACGGCCAGACTAAATCAAAACAAGGTTTTAGGCTTGCCATGGCAACGACGCGTGGTTTTGCTGGCATTAAGCCCACGTGACCTTTTTTTAAATTGACGATTTGACATGACATGGTACTTTTTGCATTTTGGGTGACAGATACAAAGAAGAATTGTAATGTCGGGAATTTTACAGTAAGGCCCATGGGCTTGGGCAGTTTATAAATGAACAATGTTGTATCGAAATTTTGCCTTCGTTTAAATATTTTTTTCCGCTAACCCTCATTTAAGTTAACTTTTTAATGCAATTCCTATTGCTATCATCTACTCTAAATATTAGTTTCCACTACTATTCTCCAAGCGACAAAACGATTACACAAGGCCATGTTGACTTTTTATCGTAAAATTAATATTTCAAGTACGTAGGATGCCATGGCAATTCATTGATTCAGCAGTCAGCAAACTAAATGGGGCACAAATAGGCAGTGTCTTGACAGATTTTCTTAAGCCAACAACGTCTCTTGGAGGTTAAGTCGTGAACCGGATTGTACACATTTCCAAGATAAACGGGTGCATAATAACAGGGCAGGTAGTTGAGCAAACTAGCGACATATCTTTGCTTTGCCTAAAGAAGTCTCTCCACGTGGACAACTGTACTCACCACTAGACCAACCTAAGCCTTGCTGTATCAGAAAAAGTATGTTGATAGGTAAAAAGGAAATATTTCATTAATAACAAAATGAAATTGATCAGTCTACACTATTGCTTACTCGTCGTCGGGGAAGATCAACACTACGCAGAAACAGTTACTTACCTTGTCCCTGTAGCGTCGTTTAGATACGTCAAAGGATTGAATTAGGGCAGCTACGTGGCCAACAACGAGGGCGTAGCAGGTAGCTCCGGCCATCATGCTGATAGCCGTCATCCAGGCCTCGGAGAGACTGTTGGGCGGAAAACGTCCGTAGCCTATGCACAGCATGTGAGACAGCGCCTTGAAAAGAGCCCATGTGTACTGCTCAAACCAGCCAGAGTTCTGAAATACGTTAAGAAAACAATTAAATCCACGATCCTCTCCAATTGCTAAATACTTTTAAGTCTTGTTTCATTTTTGTGATTTGCAGATTCTTGGGAAAAAAGTACTGTGCTTTATGAACTTTTGTTCATTTCATGTTTAATGCACACATTACAACATTTTTAGCATAACAACTCAAAATGTATTACGAATTACGAAAGTCAGTATTTTTTTGCAGAGACCAGTACTACAAGCCTAACGCGTTGTGTGAAGATAATATGAGCCCAGCACCTAGGTCCTGGTTATAAAAGTTGTGTATTGGTATCTGACTTAGGTTTCATGCAGTAATTTACGTTAAAAAAGGGGTTTTTGTACCTGCGTGTACGTAGACAACCAATTTTATCAATGCTGAAACTTTGCACACATTGGTTAGTGGGTAGAAAAGGCAGGGTCAAAGTTATGATCAGCCGAAACCTTCGCACACAAACTCTGAGGGCTTTTACACCCACTTCTACTTTTAAAAGACCAATTAAAACAACATAATATTGTCGGATTTTGGGCACCTTAAAAACTGGATTTTCAGTTGCTCAATTGTCTTGTCTTGTACTCCTGACCGTTAACTTATCTTTTGTGCCTCACATGTGGTGGTTTAATCGTCGATTTTCAGCTCTGCATAGATTTCTTAAGATGATGAGAGACTGTGGATTAGGGCATGTCACAAATGCTAGGTGAAAAATTGCATCTAATGAGGGAGTTGAGCATTACTTCACTGATCTAAAAAAGGATCTTAGTGGCAATCACACAGCTAGCTTTACCACGTAAATAATGCTGCATTCGCTGCTCTAAATCGGACCCAACGTGTGGAAAGTTTGGAATTGACAGGTAAATTTACTGTAAAAACCAGTGACTCTCCAAAGACGCGAATTGCTTCAAACTGACGACATAATGCGAACGCAACATCAAGATTTCTATAAAGCAGAAAACAATGCAGATTTATTAACTATTTTGTGTAACTATTAGTGCTGAATTTAGGTTTAGAGTAAAATTTCGATTTAATAACTTCTCAAAAACCGGCGTTTATCTGGAGATACTGCATTTGAACTTTGCAAAATATTTATTTTTAGTCATCAGCTTAAACAAGCAGGGATTTAGTCAAGTCGTTAACTAATTTTAGTGCCTAACTCTCAAAATGAATAAGCAAATGTGGATTTGGCTGAATAAGTGTGGCGTACATTAGTTATTAATATGACTAGGTCTTATTTCGTGCACAGTAATCCAAAAATGAGCGTCTGCTGAAAATCACCATGAACACTTTAGTGCACATTATTGCCTACAAATTTAGACAGCGACTATCCAGTTTTTCGTGCAAGCACATTAAAAATTGTTTTTTTTTAATTTATAAGAAATGCGTAATGAAAATAAAAAGTACATATTCAAGCGAATTTGTTGATTAGTCTGGAAAAATTCAAAAGTAATTTCTCTGTTGAGTTGTAAAAACCAGTTTTGTCACAATCATTTTATGACATGCAGCAAATTCAACGGATTAAATATTCAGTTTTTAAAAAGAAATGTTGCAAAACCTCTTTCGATTTGCTTCAAGGTACCTCCAATAATTCTCGCAGCTTGTTTTAAATGCTATTGCTAATCAGTGTGCTTGCATTACGAAAGTCGAAGCAGAGCTTTTGGCGCTTTTCTAGGATGTTCGAAGTAGACAGGTTTGTTTAGAAAGTACAGATCAGGAAAAATCGAAACGCAACGACGTTTCTGGATCAACCCAACTACCAATGCCCTTCTAAGCCCCATTTTGTGCTTTTCACATTGGCCTATCACCTGGCAGCAGTGAATAAGCCCCTTTTGCTATGAGGACTTTCGTTGTTGTCTTTGTTAAAACAAGCAAAGCAGACAATGGGTCCATTAATAAAACGTCAGAAAGAGCAAGGTTGCGTCTGGTATGCACGATAAACAACTTCGAACATCCCATTGTAGGCAGCGATTTCTGAAAAAAACTTAAAATGAATGTCATAACAAACTATCTGGGATTAAGGTCATCACACTAAATTATTTTCGCGTGTGCTATGTTGAAATGTAGTGCAGGAATGGAATATGCTGTATAGTACCAGGTGGTTGATTACTTGCAGATCCAGTGACTGAAAACGGTAAAATTGTTTTTCTAAGAAGCCGCCCTAGTTGGTTTGACCTCGTCTCAGCGCAACTGAGACCAACACTTGTAGCCTTACAAAAATATCACGCGAGTTTTTAAAAAAAACAACTGATTCAGGACTAAAATTAAAAACGCGATTCGATCCTTAATTTCACTACCAAAGGTTCGTGACAGGTGGCATTTTGTCTACAATTACTTCAAATGCTGAAATTACTTCTGTTAAAAGGCGCAACCAATTGATACTGAGCTCAACTGAGTTAAAACGATTTGAAGGCCATTGGTAGTTGTGGTGTGACGTCGACTGAGATTAAGGAAGCAGGCATGTTTCGATCAGATCAAATAGGAGTAAAATATCGATACTTGTGCGCTGTCAGACTTATACATGTGCACACTGCCAGGGCGAATCCTGAGCTCCGGTCTTATACGCAGACACGAATTTGTCGTGAATCCTGTTTATTCAACCTCCTAATCCCGTCGCTCTACCTCCTACACAGGGTTCCCCTTGCCGCTCGATTCCTCAACTCCCCCTTCATTAGCCCAAATATTTATCTTAGAGTGTCCCCACACACAGGTCTTGATTTTAGCGCATGTATGACTCACACATCCGAGATATAAATACATACGCGCAAACACCACACACGACACAATGACACCAACGGGGTTGACCTCTGAAGTAAACGCTTTTGTCCCGTCCTCTCTGGCCTTTTCACTTTATCGCGGGTATTAGGAAAGCGTAATCGGACCAGGGTTAATTCCGTGGCCCCGGCGTGGCTCAAGGCCACATGCTGGGACCCACAACAAATTAAAGGTAAAGTATTTTTAACTACGCACTAGAAAATATGGCTGTGGTTGCTTGAAGCACCATGGATTTAGCCTTGACGGGAATTTCTAAGCCTAATTTTGGA